GAGAAATCAGTTAATACTTTGGGTCTGGTGACCCTTCCTCAGGTTGCCAGACCTGAAATGTTAACGCTGATTTCTCTTCACAGATGCTGCCAGGCCTGCTGAGCTTTTCCAGCAACTTCTGTTTTTGTTCTGATTTACAGCATCCGTAGTTCTTTGGGTTTTTAGTTATAATTAACAGTAGCAGACCAGGGTTTCTTCACACCTGACTAGTTTATGTTGTCTTTTGATTAAAAATTGTTAATTTCAGTTCAGACAATTTTCTTCATTCTGTGTTGTTTCAAACCTGTATAATTAGCTTGATTGTTGTGGCCATTGTTTATGTTGTTAAATCCATTTTAGTCCATGGAGGCCCAGCTTGCCAGGTATTAATATCAGATGAATGGAATTTGAAAATGGATAGTCTGTATCTCATTACGTTTGTGACATTGTGTTATTTATTTATATTTTTCTTGTGAATGTTTCATGCAATCAGATAAACAGTGAAACTTGTTACCTGACATCTCACCACCCTGCCAACTGGAATAGTGTACTGGCTAGTGTCCTGGCACCCCCTTGCCTCCCCACTGCCATATCCACAATTTTACAATATACTAATGTTTTCAGTCTGAAATGATTCCAAAAGAACGGGTTGTAGATTGAGATAACAAAGCGTGGAGCTGGAGAAACACAGCAGGTCAGGCAGCATCAGAGGAGCAGGAAAGTTGACAGAAGGGTCCCGACTCAAAACGTCAACTTTCCTGCTCCTCCACTGCCTGACCTGCTGTGGTCCCCCAGCTCCACACTTTGTTATCTCTGACTCCAGCATCTGCAGTTCTTGCTATCTCTGGTTGAAGATTGAGACAATTTCCCCTTAGTGTTTACAGCAAAACGTGTTAAAGATGGATAGACTTTAAGCCTCAGTTAGTTGCAGAATATATTGAAGCCTGTTTTCATTTGATTCCTGCAATTACTCCAAACTACAGTGTCTGCTGATAATTAATGTCGCTTGCAACGTACCAATCTGTTCACAGCTACACCACGTAAAGCCAAATCTGTTTAAGCATGTGTGTGAACTTCAGCAATGCATAACACACACGTGTGTGGGTGGGTGGGGTGGTGGTGGTGGTGGTTAATAGACGTGGCATTTGACTTACTGGTTCTATCTGATGCCAGTGCCTTAATATCTTTGCTTAACAAACATTTATGTATCTCAGATTTAAATCTAATGACTGATTTAGCATTAACTGCCATTCGTGGAAGAGCGTTCCAAACCTTGATCGCTAATTGTGTAAAACTACTTTGTAACATCTCTCCCTAATAATCTAGCTCTACTTTTTAGATTATGCTCCCTAGTTCTAGAATTTCCAACCAGTGGAAGTAGTTTATCTTCATTTTAAGGAAAGTGAGGAGAATTTTATTTTCTCTGAAGATTGAGAGTCTTTTTGGAACTTTTCCTCTATTGGCAATAGAAACAGTCTCTTGATATTATGAGAGATAGATAAATGTTTTATAAGTGGGGTTGAAAGTTTGCAAGTAAGATGTGGAGTAATCCAATAAATGATGATCTTTTTGAATAGTAGAGATGTTTGAGGGGTTTAATGACCTGCTCTTGTTCCTAATTGGAAGGTTTTGCAGTGATTGATCCATCACCAAAAAGAGAGGGGCGCAAAATAATTTTGTGGATTTTCTTGAAAGAAATACATAATTATTTGTATATTACAATTATTAAATATTAAAGAAAAATAAATGCATTCTAACATTGTTCCCGCTAATTAAAACCTAAGCACTTTTAAGTGCAGTTCAGTCTGTTCTTGGATTCTGGCATGTTTTGTGGTTATAATGTTGATGAACTAAAAGAAATGACACATCTTTGTGCAGAGACATTTTATCAAGGTTGATTAGTGGAGCTGATCATTATTGTTATTGAGCAGCCTCTGATGAGAAGCAATTGTGTTTTATTTGAAACCATTTAGTCCACGATCTTCAAATGAAAGCACAGTGTTATAATGTTTTATTGTGCGATCAAATACTGGAATAAGTTTGATAACGGGAGCACTGGAGTTCTGTTGGCTGTGTTCAGGAAATGTTTAGCTTTCATAGTTCATACTTTTATTTAAACCTCTGCAGTTATAATTTCTGACAATAAATGGACTCCAGACACAGTATACATGTTTCATATGTTGGCTTTTATTGTTCAAATGCTTACAATTGTACCAAGTTTGCGCTGTTGTATCTGGATCTGTTACTTTTGTGAGTTGCAACTTTTTGGCGTCACGTTCTTCTGTTCCTTGATAAGTTAAAGATAATATGCAAGAATCGCAAGAACATGGAACTATAAACCAAGTACGAATAAACTATTAGTTAAAGCTAATAGAAGTATGTAGAAGCTGTTTTAATTGACTTTCTCTATTTCTCATATAACCATGGCTAAAAATTTGTAATTAAACCTCAGTGTAGAGTGGTGTTGCCTTATATACTTAATGCAGCATTGTAGTTGTTGAGAATTTTTGAGAGTTTTATTTAGCAAGATGAAGAATCAGGCAGGGGATTAAAAGTCAGTATTGCAGATTAAATTAATTAGTCATAGTCATGCAGCACAAAAACTGACCCTTTAGTTGAACTCGTCCATGCTGACCAGATATCTTAAACTGAACTAATCCCGTTTTGCCTGCATTTGGCCAATATCCCTGTAAACCTTTCTTATTCATGTACCTGTTCAAATGTCTTTTAAATGTTATAATTGTACCTTCCTCTATCACTTCCTCTGGAAGCTTATTCCATACATGCAGTACTCTGTTTTAAAAAAAATTGCTTTGCAGGTCCCTTTTAAATCTTTCTCCTTTCATATTAAACCTATGCCCTCTAGTTTTGTACTCCATCCCCTTGGAAAAAGGCCTTGGCTATTCACCTTATCTATGCCCCTCATGATTTTATCAACTTCTATAAGGTCACTCCTCGGCCTGTGATGCTTTAGGGGGAGAAAGGTCCCAGTCTATCCTGCTTCCCCCTTTTAACTCAAACCCTTCAGTTCCAGCAGTGCCCTTTCTGGTTTAACGACAACCTTCCCCTATCAGGGCATCCCGAATTGTATGCAGTATTGTAATAGTGGCCTCACCAATGTCTTGTACAGCTGCAGCACAATGTCCCAACTCCACCCTGTCTATCTGCGATGCCACTTTCAAGGAATTACGAACTTGCATCCCTAGCTTCTTCTGTTCAACAACACTCTCCATGGCCCTACCATTAACTATAGTCCTGCCCTGATTTCTCTTGGCAAAAGTTATCTAAATTAAACATGATCTGCGACGTCTTGGTCCATTGGCCCATCTGATAGTTTGCAAATAATATTCTTGGATGAGAATTAGACTGATCAGTTGCTGATTTAACATTTCCTGAACTTTATCTTCTGGTCTGTTTTTTAGTTCTTCACCTTGTTCGTTTGGATTATATTAAAATATGGGTTCATATTCAGCGCCAACATGTTTTATTTGGGATCCTTAAGGGCTAAACCGCAACAGACATCCATTTTGTTATTTTGGGATGGGACCAGGTTAAAGAATCACATCCTAAATCAATTCTAAAGAACTTACTCCTGGAATTGTCATGAATAGTAGTAATATTCCTCTGTTGCCATCAGCCAACTCAACTTAAATTATGCTAGCTTAGAAATGAGTAGACCATTTGGCACCTCAAACCACCTTTTTAAATGCGACCGTGGCTGATCTATGATCAAACATTTTAGAGACATCTTTGGTATACCTCATCTGGCTGAATAATTTTAGGGCAGTCAGTTCTTTTCAATTTAAAATATTGTGCAACATTAGTAACCCAAAAAGCTAAGGAAAGCTTCAAGAGAATTTGATTTTAAATTACTAGGGTGCAAGCAGAAGAAATATCATAGTTTCAGCACTTAAATATTTCTGTCCTCTGCTAATGTTGTGCTATCTTTAATACATGTTTTGTGCCACTTGGATCCCTAGGGGATTAAAAAAAATGAACCATTTTCTAACACACCTATTTAATTATTAGGATTGCATGAGATCTTTTTTTGAGTAATGCAGGACAAATATTTAATGGCTAAAGGTTCAATAAGGATAGCTGCTGTGGTCCATCAAAACAAATCCTACTACTTTTGTGGTAAGAGTATTTTGAAAGAATGAAGTAACACTTGTTTCAGCGATAAAACAAAAGTAAGCATTTCTTTTGGCCAGTTCTTAATCGTAATTAACAAAATTTACAAAATAAAATCCCCATTACAGAAAAAACATGTACTGAACTTAAAAAAGAAATGATGTGCCATTTTTGGGCACATTCCAGCATTCCTCTTGCTGGGCCAGTTCGTTGATCTCGCTATTTTCTAATTAATCTGTTGCGAGAGAACGCTATTACAAGCCCCCGGGGCAAGTGAGAAGTGAACCCAGGCCCTCTGGCTCAGAGGTAGAGTCACTACCACTGTGCCCTTTTGGTGACCTGAGTCATGGTGAGAGCTGTCCAGAAAACTTCAAATCTGCCTGACAGCTGTTCTCTGGTGAGTCGACCCCTAAAAAGTATACCATAGCTTGTTTTGCACGATGCATAGAATTTACAAAGTAATTTAAGTCAGGTTAAGGTTTGTGACATTTTTGCTTTGATCTGGGAATGAGAAATTTTCTCACTGATGTTTGACTGTGATTGAATAAGATCTGATTTGCCTTCTGAGAGAGAATTTAAAATAGTGCTGTTACAGAAATAATCCATTGCAAATGAGCCAGTGCTACACACGTATGTAGTGCTATATTGACACTGCATTGTGTAAATGTTATGTGTCGACTGTTAAGTTTCATTTCCATTGAGAATTTTGCTGTCTGTTGTCTATTCTGCAGGGCTTTTTTGCTACCTTTTAGTGTAATTAATTTTAGCTTTTCTTAAAACATCTTGCCGTTTTTATATTATTAACTACTTTCCCTTGCATTTCCCTTTTGAAGATTCACTTTTTTGTTTTGGAGAAAAAGGTTATGTTTGTTTTGTTCCTCTTGTTTCAGAAAAGCTAGCTGAACTCAACCAGTGTTGAACCTTCATGCAAAGCTGAACTCAACCAGTGTTGAACCTTCACGCAAAACTGAACTCAACTAGTAATGAACTACAAGGCAAAGTGTTGAGGTCAGAATAACCAAATTCGAACAGTATTGAACTTGTATGCAGAACTGTTGAGATCCAGTGGTTAAGATGCCTATATTTTATGTCCTGGGGTTAATGTTCCTCTCCTTCACTCTTTTGACTTAGACATCTTGTCAATGCAGAGGGCGTTGTACAGAAGGATATCTTATGATGTCTGGTGCTATAACCTTATCTCTCACTTTATCCCTTTCTTTAAAGGTTGCATTACTTCTACTGGCATTTTGGGTTTTAGGCTGTTAGGAAAATGTCTCTTCAATTTGAGATGCCATTGATTTTTGGTAGAACAGAAAGTATTTGCTGTTGAGAGAGTGTGTGTGCGTAAGAGACTGCAATTCCGGGTAGTGCATATTCCAGAGTATTAGCTCTGACGAGCAGACTACATTGCTATGAAACAAAGAACTGCGGGTGCTAGAGATCTGAAGCGCACAGAACAGAAATTGCTAGAGAAGCTCAGCAGGTCTGGAAGCATCTGTGGAGAAGAAGCAGAGTTAACATTTCGGTCCAGTGCCTTCCTTCAGAATGTGGCAAGAACGCAATTAGTGCAAATCAAAGCAGTCACTAGTATCCTTCTGTTGATGCTATTCCTGGTAATTGGGTATGTAGTGATCGAGCATTTCCAACATCAGGATCAGTTTCTGTTAATGGTATTGCTACATTGATCTCAGCACTGTTAGCTTGAATGATTCATTTTCAGTTTTCAAATGTAAGAGTGCATATTTTGCTCAACAAGATGTCTCTAGCATTATTTACCCATGTTCTGCTACTTTGTCCTGGAGTTTATTAGTCACTGACTCTGTGAGCTTTAAATAATGAACAGTATCCCTTCCCAAGAATTCACCCTGTGTTTCAATAGATGTAATTGACTGGTCCTTGTCTCCCCCTCCTTGCACTCCCATGCTGGTTAGTAGCAATACCAACTGATGGGCAATATTTGGTTGACCGTGTGGAAAATTGTCCAAGTAAGACCTCTTTACCAAAAAGCAGGATAATTATAACCTGATCAATTACGATGCTATCATTGTACTCATTGGTCTTTATCAAAGTATTGAAACATGTTGACAGTGCCATCATATAGTTAATACACAGCAATTCCACGTTTACTGTGTACCCAGTTTGTGTTCTGCCAGAGCCACTCCATTTCTGGTCACATTGCAGCCTTGGTCAAAAATGGACAAAAGAACTGAACTCGGGAGGTGACTCCCCTCGTCATCAAGGCAGCATTTGACAGTGTGGCATTGAACAGATCTGAGCACAGCTGCAGTTATTAAGAATTGGGGAAACCATATCCATTAATTGGAGTCATATCTACCGTAACGGAAGATGATTATGTTTTTGGAGGTCAGTCATCTCAGCCACTGGATATTACTGCAGGAGTTCCTCAAAGTATTGTCCTCATCGGTACCAAAAATCGGTACCATTTTTGACTCCTCTGATACAGAAGTGATCTACGTCCATGTGCAACAACATCCATACTTGAGCTGATAAGTTGCAGGTAACATTACTGCCATACAGTGCAAATCATATTATGTTTACTATTAGTGGTGTTACCATCGCTGAATCTCCCATTCTCAATATCCTGGATGGCTAGGAATTCAGAGGCAAGTAACTCACGACCTGACTTTGCAAAGCCTGTCTACTGTTTATGAGGCATATGTCAAGTGTAATGGAATACCCATCATTTGCCTGGATGAGCGCAGTTCCAACCATGCTTACTCCCTCCATCCCGACATAAACAGTATGCATCACATACAAGATGCCCTATAGCACGTTACCAACTCTCCTTCAGTAGCACCTTCCAAGCTCTTGACTTCTACTGTCTAGAAGGGCAAGGGCTACAGATGCAAGGGAACATTACCTACTATAATTTCACCAGCAACTTGCATGTCATCTTGGTTTGAAACTATACATTACTGCTGATGGATCAAAATCCTGGAATTCACTTAACAGCGCTGTAGGTGTATCTGCATCAAATGGCTAGCAGCAGTTCAGGAAGGTGGCTCAACACCATCTCCTTGAGGATTAATAGGGATGGGTAATAAATGTGGACCTAGCCCGTGACACTCAACCCAAGACAGAAATTTTAAAGTTGCCAGTTCAAAACTCATAGTTTGGTGAAGCTAAAAAAATAATGATCAGAAATATTTTTTTCTTTATTTGGTATCCTGTCTTTATTTTTCTATCTGTTCATAATGCTTGGAGACATCTGTTCTTTAATTTAGGTTGTTCTGTGAATGAATGCAAGCTAAGAGTAGCAGTCAGTCTTTGAGCTAATATATCTATTTTGATTTCTGAAAACTGTTGTTCAGAATAAAGGTCTATTAGTTTTGTTCTGTACTTGATTTCTTAGCCTCTTGTCCTGTAAAGCATGAAAGGATAAAGCTGCAACTGCAGGCAAGTCAGCAAAGTCTTCATGGGAGAAATTGTCTTTGACAAGTTCTTGAATCTTAGTTTTGAACATGCATTGGCATTGTCTTGGTTAAACTAGTCTTGCAGCAATTTGAAGCTGGGTAGTGAATGAAAATAGGAAATTGGTATTTATTGTACAGTTCTTTTTATTCTGTAACTGTTGTCAAAAGATTCTAACATTTTTTAATTAGCCAATTTCCAGGTTGTAATTTCTATTTGGACCAACCAGACAACATGGCTGTTGACCCCTCACAAGGGTCCACACCACATCTACTCACTGCTCCCTTATCCCTGTTTTCTTTCAATCATCTGTCAGTCAAATCTTGGATAGTAATATTTACTACTTTTAACAGCTTCAACTCTGAAAACTTCATCATAAATCTCATGCTTTTGTGCAGTGAAAGATGACCTCTTTTTATTCTCAGCTGGGAGCGTTGCTGAACAAGGAGACCTTGGAGTGCAAGTTCATAGTTTCTTGCAAGTGGAGTCCCAGGTTGTCGGTATAATGAAGAAGGTGTTTAGTGTGCTTGCTTTTATTGGTCAGGGCATTGAGTATAGGAGTTGGGAGGTCATGTTGGGGCTGTACAGGACATTGGTTAGGCCTCTTTTGGAATACTACATGCAGTTCTCTTCTCCCTCCTGTTGGAAGGGTGTTGTGAAACTTGAAAGAGTTCAGAAAAGATTTACAAGGATGTTTTAAGGGTTGGAGGATTTGACCTATAGGGTGAGGTTATTTTTCCTGGAGCGTCAGGGGCTGAGGGGTGACCTTACAAAGCGTTATGAAAGGTTTTAAAGTAGATTCGTAGTTCGGATTGTGAATGTTGTAGTTGGTTGGCTCGCTGAGCTGGTTCGTTGTTTCGCAGACGTTTCGTTACCATGCTGGTTAACATCAGTGCAGCCTCCGATGAAGCGCCGTTGTTTTCCCGCCTGTTATTTAAACTCTGGAGTCCGTTGAGCCGGATTACCTCACTTCTGGTTTTCCTTCGCAGTGGAGTGTATATGGGGTCGAGCTTTCTTGGGAAGGGATACTGTTCATTAATTAAAGCACAGAGCTACACCAAAAACAAGAAGAATACCTCTTCCAGGTATTCAGAGACAATGGATACCTGAAAAACTGGGTCAGAAGATGCCTATTACACCACCGACACCAGGAAGATACTACACACCCCAACACACTCATCACGCTACGGAACACATCTGAACTGACCACAAGACTCCTACAACCACTAGGCATCAGAGTAGCACACAAACCCACATCAACTCTGACAACTGCTCACCTGAACCAAAGACCCACTACCCACTATGGACAGGACTAATGACTTATACAAGATTCTCCGCAGAAACTGTGACAAACACTACATCGGACAAACAGGAAGGAACTTCACAAGGGTACACCAACATCAATTGGCTACAAAAAGACACGACCAATACTCACTCCCCTCTATCCACATGGATAAGGAGAACCACCAATTTGACTGGGACAAGGAAAGGAGAGACAAGCACAGGAATTCCTAGAAGCGTGGTTCTCCATGAAGAAAGCCATCCACAAACACGGAGCTCGACCCCACATACACTCCGCTGCGAAGGAAAACCGGTGAGGTGAGGTAATCCAGCTCAACAAACTCCAGAGTTTAAATAACAGGCGGGAAAACACAATGGCGATTCATCAGAGGCTGCACTGATGATGTTACTCAGCATGGTAATGAAATGGTTGCGAAACAACGAACCAGCTCGGCGAGCCAACCAACTACAACAGAGGTTTATAAAATCATGAGGGGCATGGATAGGGTAAATAGCCAAGGTCTTTTCCCTGGGGTGGGGAAATCCAAAACTAGATGGCATTGGTTTAAGGTGAGGGGGGAAAAGATTTAAAAGGGACCTGAGGAGCTACATTTTCATGCGGCGAGTGGTGCGTGTGTGAAATGAGCTGCCAGATGAAGTGGTGGAGGCTGATACAGTTACAACTTTTTAAAAGGCATCTGGATGGGTATATGAATAGAAAGGATTTAGAGGGATATGGGCCAAATGCTGGCAAACGGGATTAGATTTATTTAGGGCATCTGGTCAGCTTGGACAAGTTAGACCAGAGACTGTGTGGCCAGGCTGTACAGCTCAATGACTCTATTCAGTTACTAAATCAGAGCCCCAGTTCAAAATAAAATCTTGTCTTTGTCCTTTTCTCCATAATCTTTTCCATTTCTGGTTATTTGATTGTGCTGATCTAGGGTGCGTTTCTGCAGACATTCATATTGCACACCATGTGTATTCAAGGTGGTGACCCCAACTGTTATGACTGCAGCCATTGAGTCTTCTAGTACTGAATCCAGCATTTAATTTTGAATCATGAATGTAGTTGGTGTGGTGGACCATCCTATGGTACAAACATTGCAATTACAGGAGCACGAAGGCTCAGATGAATCTGTCTTCACAAATTCACCTTCCAATTTATCTATGCTTAATGGTGGCTAATAGGTAATGAGCAGGAGCTGTGGTTTAAAAGCTCAAGATGATTATAAGGTAGCTGAGATTTAAAATGCCAAATGGACATTAAACATTTTTTGCTTTTGTCATTCCTGTTGCACTAGAAGTTTACTGACTCTGTTGTGCTAGTGGAATATTCATGACTTTTTTTAAACGGAGTATAAAGCTATGTCAGTTCAAATTGAAGGGTGTGGGTCTAATTTCAGTAGAAAATCTAATGAATCAGCTGCTCTGAAACCAGTATTGAAATGCTGAACTTTGTTTCTGAAATGGTAACTGTGAAACTGTTGGCTTGTCATAAAACAATATCTAGTTTTTCAGTGTCCTTACCTGGTCTGACCTTCAGATGCCTCCAGATCCAAACCAGTGTCATTAAGTCTTAACTGTTGCCTGAAATGGCACTGCAAGACTAAACTGCCTGGGAAAATTAGTATCAGTGTTATAGCAGCAGTTCAAGGCGTTTTGCTACCACTTTCCAAAAAGCAATAAATGCTGGTCCTGGCAGCCATGCTACCATCCCATCAAAGAGAATTTTTCTTGAAATTTTCTTATTAGTAATTATCTAAATGAGAGAAGATTAAATTAAGAACTTTTGCTACCTGTAAGTAAGCTGCAAAGTACCTGGTTCCCCTCGTGTGAATTTAATTTTGCATTGCAAGAAATAGAAATTTTCCTGGGCAAAATTTGAGAAATTTGTAACAAGTGTTGATCAAAGTGCTAGATGGGAATTGTCATAAGATATGTTTGGCCAGGAGAGTGTTTTCTTGGAAGCATTCAATTGTGATTTCTTAAAATTTGTACAATATCTGACTTTGTTGAACCTGAAGAATTGGGCATTTAACAGATCTAAATGTTAGCATTAAAACAGGATAGATTGAACTTAATAATAATGGACTGAATTACTTGTTGAACCACTTCTGAATTCTTGCTAGTCTTTTAGGGGAGTGGGGAAATTAAGTTAGTTTTGTCTGAATTGCTGTATATTTTGGAGTCTATGGTTTGGAATGAATGCCTGTTTTACTTGGACTTTAAATGCAAATAGTTCTAAACTTTGTCACCTGAATAATTTGGACTACTGTGACAACTGATAGGCATTAAACATACTTTGCTTTTTGTCATTTTTAAGTTCTTTCTTGTCCCTTCACCAGGTTTCCTATTTATCAATTGGTGTAATAAGATTTTAATAACTTTCATATACACTTCCATGAAATATTGAGTACCATTTGAGACTATGGTGTCTCTACCACTTCCCAAAGTAATTAGTGATGTGGCATTGCTACAGCTTGAATATGGAAAATATTTAATTTATTGCCAGCAGTAATGGTTAGCTTTAATTTTTAATGTTTTAACTAATATTTTCCACTTAAATTTTCAGATTTGAGATATCACATTTGGTTAAACAAAAACGGCAATGATAGCAAATACATTAACTTTAACATTTAATACAAACTCTGCACTTGCACTGTGCACGTCTGCAGTGTAACAAGTTTTATGTATGCCAGTTTCTTCTTTTCTTTTCAGTTTTTCACCAGCTTTGACTTTGTAGAAATTGTTCAGATACAGGTTCATGTCTAACTGTTCCCTTTTTATAGGTTCCTAATTTTCCATTATTTACAGAGGAGTTTTCATGCTGAGTTCAATCAAACATTGATAGGCCTGTGAAAGCTATACGTCACTTGATTTTCCTGTTTTTCATTACAAAAATGGAAGTCAGTAGGTGGTGATTAAGCAGGAACTGTTTCATTAACGAAGTGATGCTGTGTTAATCAAAGCATTATTGTTCCTGCACTCATCATCTTGTCCCAATTTCTTGTTTAAAAGAAACTTGAACCAGTTGACACGTCTCTCAGTTCTTGTCCTGATTTTTTTTTTTAAGTAATATGTATTTAAATGATCACTACAAAGTTTACTTTCTTAGAGCAGGAGGTGAGTTCGTTTTCTACAGAAATTTGGTAAATTAACATAAAACAGAACAGTACAGCACATTTACAGGCCCTTCGGTCCACGATGTTGTGCCAATCTATTATCCTACGAAGTTCAAACTACCCTGCATACCCTACATTATACTATCATCTGTGTGCCTATCCAAAAGTCGCTTAAATGTCTCTAATGTATCTGACTCTACTACCACTGCCGGCAGCGCATTCCACGCGCCCACCACTTTTTTGTGTAAAGAACCTACCTCTGACATCTCCCCTATACTTTGTTCCAATCACCTTAAAATTATGCCCTGGGAAAAAGTCTCTGGGTATCCACTTTATCAATTGTAAATTGTTAATTAAAAATGTCTCAGGCTAACGCAACAGTTTGTGGATTTGGAGATCTGTTGCAGTATTATCTAGATTGAGTAGGAAGTATAGGTCGATTTAAACCAAGGGAGGAAAGAATGGGTTGGAATTGACTTGGAGAGTTGCATCAAGAGCAGCTACTTGTGGAAAAGCTTGAATTTAACCCGCTGGCTTCTGACTGGCAATCATTGGATTGTTCACAAATCCTTCAATCCCACATAAGATTGCTGAATCAGTTATAAACTAGCATTATTCATGTTATCCTAGTTTTTGTTTTGCCATATTTTAGTCAAGAAAATTTGCAATTGAGTATAAATTTAGTGAAAATGTTGAACCCTGTCTGAGGATCTAGGAATGCACTTCAATTAATATCTGAAATATGTCATGCTTTTTATCTGTGCAGGAGTCCGAGTGGATGTCTTCATGGATATTGTTGATATATTTAACCCCTTGCTAGCCACCGACCACTTGGATGACACTCTGATTTTAGAGCCAGACTTAGAAAGTGAAGTTTGTGATTGTGACACAGAACCAGACATCCTGGGAGGTTCTTTAAGAAACATGCTGAGTGACAAAGATCCTATGCTAGGATCTGCTAGTGTACAGTTCAGCCTGCCCTTTTCAGATAATGAAGATGGCAACTTTCAGCTAACATGCTCAACAGGTAGGTCTGACTTGCTTTTTGGCTGCGGTGCCTGCAAAAGTAATGTAGGCTAATGTAGCCGTGTAGTACTTGTATGAATGGGTGGAAAGGTTTCCTCCCACCTTAAACCCCTGCCACGCCTTCCCTTACACAATGCCACAGGCGCAGTGCCAAAATCTCTAACTCTATCTCTTTGAGTTTCAAGCTTTTACACATTGAAGAAAAATCTGCATTTATAATGGTGTTTTAAAACGAAAGTAAACTGGCATAACTGTATGCAAGATTAGGGAACTGCTTTATAGCCAGCAAGGTATTTTGGGAAAACATGATAAATTGTCGCTGTGTCAGTGCAGTTTATTTCTAATTTTGTGCTATTACACCTCTGAAACATGTTTTTAGTACTATATTATCGAGGATAATTTCAGTTTAGCCCATTTATTATAATTAGTACAGTAAATCCTATTAAAATTGGGCAGAATTTAATATCAAGTAGGTTTGGGAGGTAGCAGATAGCAGGTTATTGAATAGTAGAAAGAATGGAAATTGAATTTGAGCTGTGTAACTTGAAGTGACAGAATCAATCATGTGCCTTTTAGTTGAATTCAGAATTACAATGTAAAAAAAGGTTGTGTAATTATTTAGCCTTCAAAGTCTGTGTCCGTAAATTAGATTAAAATGGTTAATCCAAGTCAGCAATGTTTTACCATTTTTCAAAAATGAAAGCTTTGAATGTAGTGTTTTTAAAGGGAAATAGTTCATTTGAACATTACTGTGTAAAACATAATACTGTACACTTAATAGAGCTTATTCACTTTATACCTAATCCTAAGAGGAACACTGACTATAGGATTGGTGTATACAGTTGACTGGTGCCTTGTTATTTGTTACTTTTTTAAAAAGGCTTATTTCTGAAGCCATTATACCTGAGGGTACACATAAGGGAAAAAAAAAATTTTCTTCAAAGCATTTTGTATGCTTGTCATAATTTGTTTAGAAAATAACTATTTGCAAATGATCATATTTTACCTACCAAAATTAAAGCATCTTGATTTTTATTTTCTCCTAATCTAATGTTTTTAAACTCTATAGTTTTTAACAAAACAGAAAATGAGATTGCTAACTCTATTAAAGGAAATTGAAATTTTGTATGTTACTGCAGCGTTTTTTTTTGAGATTCCATTTTCCTTGGGTATTACATTTGCGGTAACAATTTAATTTCAATGTAAGTATTCATAAAACTGTAGCCTTACAATAATGCAGTAAAACTAGCACTGATTACTATGGACAGGTGTCAAAAATATATTCTAATTCTTGAACAGTGGTGCTTGGAGGGAGGAGCGATTATAATTCTTCAGTGATGGTTGAATCTGACAAACATACTAATTCTTTGAGTTAGTTGATTTCAACTTCGGTATGGCATTGCATTTGGCTTAGCACTTGTCAGGGAAAGAAAGAAAAACCAGCTATGGTTTCTATTCCTGATCCCTTTGAGACTCTTTAAGCTTACGCTGTTTCCAGAACTTTGGTAGGGAAGAATGGTGCTTTTTCTGTGACTTTTCCCTTTTTGACACATAACTAGTCTTTCTTTGCAGTCAATTCTATGGTAAAAGCAAAATGCTGTGGATGCTGAAAATCAGAAAAAGAAAGAAAATATGCTGCACAAACTGAGGAGGATTGGCAGCATCTGTGGAGAGAGAAACAGTTAACATTTCGTTTGATTGCATCGTAGTCGTAGAGGTGTACAGCTCAGAAAAAGCCCTTTGGCCCATCGAATCTGCGCTGGTCCAAAACAACCATCTAACTAATCTAATCATATTTTCCAGCACTTGCCCTACAGCCTCATACCTTGACATCACAACTGCACATCTAAATTTGACTTGAATGTTATGAAGGTTTCTGCCTCTACACTTTTTTTTTGTGGACAGTAAGTTCCAGATTCCCATCACTCTCTGGGTGAAAAAGTGTTGCCTCATGTCCTTTTCTGAACCTCCCCGCTGTTTACCTTAAATCTGTACTCCCGGTCATTGATCTCTCCATCAAGGGGACAAGTTTCTTTCTGCATACCTTATGTATGCCCCACATCTTACACATCACGCCCCCACCCCAAGTCTCCAAAGAAGAGAGCCCCAATCTATCCAATCTCACTTCATATCTAAAACTCTCCAGCCCAGGCAGCATCCTGGTAAATCTCCTCTGCATACACTCTGGTGCAATCACATCCCACCTATAATGTGGATTTCCTAGCTGTGGCCAAACCAATGTTTGATACAGTTCCGGCATAACCTCCCTGCACTTAAGCTCCGTACCTTAGCTAATAAAGGCAATTATCTTATCTACCTTTTTAATCATAGAGTCATACAATATGGAAACAGACCCTTTGATCCAATTCGTCCATGCTGATCAGGTATCCCGAGTGAATTAGTCCCATTTGCCTGCATTTGGCCCATTTCCCGCTAAACCTTTCCGATTCATGTACGTGTCCTTTGTTCCAATTTTCCTGCACTGACCAGACGTCCCAATCTGCTCTGCTTCCTTTTATCACTTTATCTATCCTGCCAACTGAAGGTACCAGTGGGTATACACACCAGGAGGCCTTATCAAATGCCTTCTGAAAATCCAAAAATATTCTGCTTCCACTTTATATATCCTGCTTGTTACCCCCTTAAAGAATTCTAGTGAATTTGTCAGGCGTGGTTTCCCTTTCATGAAGCCGTGCTGACTGTGCTTGATTGTGTTATACATTTCTAAATGAAGTGTTATCACATCCTTTATAATAGACTCTAACATTTTTACAATATGGTTTTTTAAGGGTCTTTACAGGGTAAATGCTGAGAAGATATTCCCCCTTATGGGAAGAGTCCAAGATTAGAGGGCATAGTCTCAGGTTAAGGGCTGTCAATTTACGACTGAGGTGAGGAGGCATTTCTTTTGAGGGTTGACAGTCGTTGGAACTTTGACCCCAAGGATCTCTGTGGCAAAAAGTCTTTGTGTATTTAAAGCTGAGATGGAAAGGTTCTTGATCAGTATGAGAATCAAGGATTATGGGGAAAGGGCAGGAAACTGGACGTGACGAATGTCAGATCAGCCGCGATCACACCGAATTGGGGAAACAGGCTCAAGGGGCTGAATGACCTAATCCTGTTCCTATTTCTCATGTTCTTATTACTACTAGTGCATCCACTATCTGTAGGTACTACTTTTAATGTCTTGAGGTGCGTTCCATCAGCTCCAAGGGACTTATTGGTCTTTAGCCCTATTAGTTTCCCTACTACTTTTTCTCTAGTGTTATTGTATTTATTTCCTGTTCTTTTTCCTTTGAATATTTAGTAACTTTGGAATGTTGTTAGCGTCTTCTACTATGAAGACTGAAGCAAGATATTTATTTAACTCCTTTGCCATTTTCTGGTTCTCCATTGTTATTTCCCCACCTCATTCTCTGAGGGACCCGTGTTCACTTTGGCTTTTCTCTTCCTTGTATATTAAAGGAAGCTGTTGTTTGTCTTGATATTATTTGCAAGTTTGTCCTCAAAGTTTATCATCTCCCTTTATTTTTAGTTGTCTTTTATTGGTTTTTAAAACTCTCCCACTTCTCTAGCTTACCACTAATTTTTGTCATGTTTACTTTTTATTTCAATCTGATGTTGTCCTTAACTTCTCTGGCTAACCATGTTTGGTTTATTTCCTTCCTAAGATCCTTCTTCCTGACTGGAATATATCTTTGCTGTGAGCCATTAGCTGTTTTTTTTTTAAACGTCTGCCATTGATCTTTAACCTGTTTTGCTGCTGAACTCCTTCCCCAGTACACTCCGGCCAGCTCTGCCCTCATTTCTTTGTTATTATCTTACTTAAGCTTAGCATGGTTATTCCGGACTCCTCCCCCTCAAGTTGAATACTAAATTCTACCATGCTATGGTCTCTATTACCGAGGGGGTCTTTTACTCTGGTCATGTAGTAAATTGGCCTCGTTACACATTGCCTGATTCCTGTTGTATCCACAACATACTGTTCTAGGAAATTGACCTGAATTTTTCCTCATGCCTTCCTTAGCCAATTTGACTATCTTAATCTGCATGAAGATTAAAGTAACCTGATTAATGTACTGTCTTTGTTACATGCCCTTATTGTTCCTAATTTAGTCTCTGACCCACCATATAGCTACAGTTAGAGACCTGTAGACTGCTCCTTCCAATGTTGTCTTGTCTTTTGTCTTTCTTACCTCCACTCATGCATCTTCTGACTTCAGTTCGTTTGATGGAGGGTAGAGCCCAGATGGGCTTTATCCTTCAAAAGGAAAGTTCTGGGATGTAGTAGAGGGGGAGAGAATAAACAACAGATTTCGTGAATAAATGACAAAGGCTAGTGGTAATGGTTATAGTAAGGAGACCAGGCATTTCTCTCAAGAGTTTGTAAATGAACAGCTATTTCTGAATGCATTATTGCTGCATTGTTTCTCTGGACTGATTGCTTGAGCATGAGATTCATTATTCTTTTAAGGATTAGATGGTGGATTGGCAGTGTTAGTTTTCCTGAGAACATGTCTTATGAATTTTGGAAATAATTTTGTTTTGGATGGCAAGAATATTGAAAATTTGTGGTCAGGCTAGGAAGCATCAAAACATTCATCATCAAATCATCTTAAAAAGAACCTGTTTAATACCCTTGATAAAAACCAAAAGAACTGCGGATGCTGTAAATCAGAGACAAAAATAAAAATGCTGGAAAAGCTCAGCAGGTCAGGCAGCATCTGTGGAGAGAAATCAAAGTTAACAGTTAGGGAGAGTGACCCTTCTCAGACCTGATTGTAGCTAGGAAAGTGTTAGTTTATATGCAGAAGATACATGGGAGGGAGAGGAGGTGAGGAATAAACAAAATGTGGGGATAGAGCCCAAAGACAGTTGGACAGACAAAGAAGTGAATAACGATCTTGCTATGAGGATGACTAGCTATTATTTGGCTCTGTTAGTGGCTAACAATGGGTTTTGTGTAATAGCAGACTGTGATAACAAGGTCTGGTGTGTGGG